GGACTGCAGCGCGAGCGAGTGGTAATCGCACGCACAAGTGAAACTGTGTCATAACACGCCAGAAACAGCCTTTTCTCTGACTGTTTGTCGAATTTGCGCTATTGTCTTAATGTTGGGTACCGATTAATACAACGAGAGTTCAAACAAAGTGTTGTTCGCTCACCTGAAAGCAAGAAGGGTAGGAAGTACGGACACAAAGTTGGGCCAACAAAATGCGGAATGTGTTCCACATGGACAAGACAAGAAGCAGTTGTTGCAGCTTGTTGCATTCAACCTGCTTCATGCCCCAGTCCCAGAAGACCCGCTGGACCCACCAATCCACCCAGCACCAACCGTACAACAAGAGCTGACCTGACTGAGGTCCCAAACGGCCAAATTCTTTATGATGCTCTTTGCCGAAAATGCCACCCAGCCACACAATTAAGAATTAAGGGGTGGTAGGGAACACTCAGGAATATGGTTTGTTTAAGGAAATTGCACCCAGGGCCACCTGCCTACTAGTCCAACAGCAAACCAATACAAAACCATTTCTTAACAAGTATTGTGTCACCTCAAAGGAACAACTGCTAAACCAATACTCAACCAATTCAACGCATTACTGGGCCAGCACATGGCAATTCTAAACCAAACCAGTTCTGAGCAGTACTGAGCCAGTGCACAATAATACAAACCAATACACAAATAATTCATACAGTACTGAGCCAGCTCGAAGGACAATTCGCATTGGTATGGCAACCAACCTCCCACAACAGGGTATCAAAAACAGATACCCCGGTTTAGATCAGGCCATGGTGCCACAAGTCAAGTAGACCTCCACTCATCTGCAAAATCTCGGGCGGTGTCGGATGGGGAAGGCCGAGAACCTTGACTCACGGGAGATCTATGTCAGGTTCGGTCCTGCGTTCTTTCGCTGCTTGTTTGTTTGAACGGCAAGATTTCGGAAAATAGCATGTGTCTCCAAGAAGCAAACAAGGCGGAAAACGGGTAGGTCTCAGAATTGGGCACCTCCTCTTGCACTCTTTGAATGGAAAGCATGCAGTATGCCGTAAACCAACCACCTGGAGGCATTTCCCAGTCATGGGACGCAACCGAATACCAGGATTATGCCAGGATAGTTATTGCTCCAGCTGTTTGCATATGACTGATGCAACATCATAGAAAGACGACTCTGCTATGTTGTTCTTTCAAGAGCACGCCGTTATAGTTTCGGTATGTGATGCTTTTAGACCGAGGGTTTGCTGTAGGTCCATCCTTGAAGACAACTTGCAACTAGTCATAAAGATCAAGCTAGAAAAAGAAGTATCCGCTAGAATGTACACAGCAAGTACTGTTCAACTGTTCTGTATTTGCGCATCATGCTTCCGAATTCAAACATGCTATGTGCTGCATTTGAATCAGGGGTGTGTCCCAGAAACCGCAGTCCTGCGATTACTATTCTGCTGCCAAGGATGTGCACACAGACATCGAGGAGCGAGTGAGTGTGCGATTGAGCGCAAACGTGCCCAAAGAGCTTGAGTCATAGAGGGGTTGGACTATCGCTTCACTCCCCTACTTTACATATTTACATATATACATTGATATACATACTGTACATAACATTTACATATTGGAGATATAGTGGTTGTACATCCTGCTCCCTTGTAGTGGTAGGGGGCTAGTAAAACCTATCCTGAAATTCCAGAAGAGCTCCGAATGGGGATCCCTTGCAGCAGAGTCCGTTTCAGCAGCTTATGCTGGAGACAGTCATGTCCTCTTCGCGCCAATTGATAGGTTGTACCCCTGTTTTCACAGCATTCCATCCGTGCCCACAGGAGATGCAGGGTTGTGTCCATCCGCCATAGTACCGGATGCTTATAGAGTTGTCATGCTTCTTGGCGGCTTTTCGGTTGAGCCAGTTTTGACCTATACAAGTTCAGCCACCACAATTGCCAGAGTGGCCGGTGCCTGCATGTAGACGAGTAGGTAAACACAGAATGCGAGAATGTTGCTGATGTGCGAAGCGCGGGATCTGGTTTCGAGCAGAAACCAAGGAGATGCCACCATAAATCGGCCCCTATGTGGAAGTGCATGTAGCTGTTTGTGATTGCTCCGCCTAAGGACCAGCAAATACAAAAGATGCGGATGCTTGCAATGTAGTGTTTGGGCATCCTAATCTTAGATTGCAGCACTCAACCTGTGGGGCCATGTGCCTGCAGGACAATCTCGCATGGGTGGATGCCATCTCTGACACTGCCTACACCAACGATGCCCTGATCGTTGCAGGATGGCGTAGCTTCGCCATCATGAGCCATGAAATGCAAAACCTAGGCCATGAAACATTGCCGCTCTCTTCCCCACGTGCATTTGCAGAGAGAAACACATAGAGAGAAATAGAGAAAGAGAGCGAGAGAGAGGGAGAGAGAGAGATAAAGAGGCAGAGAAAGAGAGACAGAGAGGGAGGCAGAAAGCGAGAGAGGAAGAGCGGACGATAGAGCCAGAGCCAGAGAGCGCCGCATCTTCAAGGAGTTTTACCTGGGAGCTGCTCTTTCTGTTTTTCCCGTGTCACTCCTACGGTTCCCTCGTTTCATCAGGTGTCCTCTTCAGCAGAAACAGAGAAATCAGTGATGTCTTCCGTTTCCCATGATCACTTGCATTGTGAGTGTTTCTTTGTACAATAATTTACCATTGGCCGAAAACGCAACACCTCGGCCTGGCTGCAGAATTCGTGGTCCATTTCCGGATACCTTTGTTGAATCTAATCTACCCATGTGCATGCTCTTCACATATTCGGGTGTGAGAGGGCTGCTCATAGGATCCGAAAATCTGAATGTTTGCGAGCAGCCACTATCTAGTCTTGAAAGAAGCTGGCAACTGGTGCAAAGTCGATCTTGAAGATGACTGACTTTGCATTGTGTTTGTTTGCCTTTCTCAGTTGGAAGGTATAGAAGCCTGCATGGTCGTGTTTACCTCTTTAGCATGGCCAGGGAACACCCGTTCTCGAATTCCTTTGTGCCTTTGTTTCGCACCCGACCTGCCAAAGAGTTCCCTACGGAGTAGGCTGAAGACTTTCTTGTTCAAGGCTGAAGACTTTTGCCGACCAGATCTGGGGCTGCAATAGGCCGACGCTTTGCCTGGGCCCTTGTGTGGCAGGGCGTAGCAAGCCCATGGAAGCCCTTGAGAAAGGCCTCAGGAAAGAGTCGATTTGGCCACGCATGCCCCGTGGGTGTTCTTCAGACGTTGCCTTTTGGGAAAAGCATTCTGGTGGCAAACCAAACGCAAATCCTCACGGCCTGCTTGTGGTGCTCAACTGAGGTGGGATGAACTGCGGATTATGGTCCTCCAGAATCCGAAGTTGACCTGATAGCGCGTGGATTCCACCCTTCACATCCCTGTTCCTTTGGTGGCTTCTTCAGTAAGCATAGTGCCAATTCCCCACATTTCCGGGATGGCCCTTTCTGCCCTTTTCCGCTCGCCGGTCCACTGGGTCCCGCAGCTCCTCGCTCTTCTTTTTCTCGCAGGAGACGTGTCGGACCGGATGGACGTCTTGGAGCGCACGTTGAGCACCTTGCAGCGGAAGTTCCGAGAGGTGTGCCATGGTCAAAACTCAAAGCCCCGTTGACTTAGGGTTAAGTAGGTCATGAGCCCTTTGCGAGGAAGGTAGACAACCAGGGGAGCCATGACCATGGTCCACATAGTACAGGAATGGGAAGAGAGAAATCGCGAGTTTTTCATGGTGGGTAATTATTGCTGACAGAAAATAGATGCTCATCCGACCGAAGTTACTCATCAGCTTCACTCTCAACCTTCGCGCATGATTTGGCAAAACAAATTTCACACTAAGCAACGCGTGCTTCCACCCCAACCCTGCCTGCGATGTTCGCGCGAAACAGGCAAAAAAATGAGTTTTAGTCCTGGCACAGGTGTTCTTCGTGCCGGGGAACCACGATCTTTGGGCGGAGGACCTTCGTGACGATCCCCGCGATGCGGCCCGTTCGATTCGTCTTACCCGCGAAAAGGACCCTCCATCGCGGTTTGCTTCTTCATCATAAGGTTTGGGTAACAACGCAGGCGCAAGATGTTCAGGGAAACTCAAACTCAATCCGCAAGATCCTGAGTCAACGTTTGACAAGATCTTACATCTTTGTCGTCGACTAAAGGGGCGGTGGTAGAAGACACAAATCATAGGATAGAGTTTGAACATTGGCCAAGCTTATGCCAGATTGTAGTGGTTTCTCTTGTTGTATGGGTGTCCCACTACGGATGTTGGATTAGGCATACCCCTGTGTTGACCAACCCAGTTTGATTGAATCCAGAGCGGGTTAGTGGCTCCAAATATTGGAGATGCCAATATCTGTTTCTAGGTTGGTTGGTCTTAAACTCGAGACCCCTGCCAACATGGGGTTTTGCGGTTTGCTTGCGTTTCCAGGAAGACAGCAACCTGAAAAATGGTACCGAGCCTCAAAAAAGAAACTAAGAAGTGCGCATCATGTTTCGGACATCTGGACGCACCTCTTTGGGTCATGGAAGCGACCACCGCGTTGAAGCACACAAATCAGGCGATGGGTCTATATTGCCATGGAAAAAGGAAACATAAAGGAGGGTATTGAGACAAGATTTGCCGAAACCGGGAAAGTATACCGTTGAGAGGACAAATGCCCGTTGCCAGAATGCCAGAAGCCGATGGTTAAGTTTACGGGTAACTCCTCCGCACCTTGAGAACGCCACCATCCTTTGAATAAAGAACAGTGCCCCGGGAAAAATATCAACGATAGACAAGAGACCTTGGGAATCTCGCGCTTCACTCAGACTGTTGGCGACTATCTCTCCCGCAACAGGTGAAACCCCCCTCGGCAGCAAGACTCAACCTGCTGGTTTTTGTCAACACAGTTTTAGAGGACCCCAAGTGCTGTGGCAAGGCCTCGCAACAAACTCGGGTGCAACATATCCCATATATCTGTGTTTTCTCTCCAAAGCAGCATGTTCCAGTTCTTTACCAAAGCTGCCGCGGCTCATGTGGCTTG